AAATACTACTCGCTCGTAATGACAACGAGACCAGCCATCATTACGGGAAACTCTACTACCACAGGACTTATGCAACTTCTACTTAGGCATTTCCGATTTAACAAGATTATTATTGTCGGGTCAACAAAAAGAGAGACCAAACTGTGATAAGTGTTTGTCAAAAAGGTCCGAGTGGTCAGTGCCTTACAGTGCTGTGAGGGCTCACATCGTGTCCACAATTGATGTCAATAATAGTGGTTATGATTATAACGAGGCGTTTGTTGAATACTTTTTACATAAAAAGTATAATCATAATGAATGCCTAAAATAAATTGTTGGTTGTTATAATCATTAATAAACTAGTTGAATTTAACTGAAATTATTTTTATTACATTTATCTAAAATATTATTATCAATAGGCTTTAATTATTTTATTTTTTGTTAAGAATTATATAATAATAATTAATCATGCTAATGAACAACTCAAACAATTTTTAAACATAAAATTAATTTTTTAATAAATTTATTATAAACAAACTAATTGTAAGTAAATTTAATTAAAACAGTTATTTTGTTTTACACAATAAAAAGTCATAGAAAAATGAATTATTATTTATTTTAAGTACATTTAACAGTGAATTAAATTCCTTATGGTTATTTAAAATATCATTTTTATCTAATGACCATTTGTTATAATCATCTAATATTTCACGACTGGTCGGCCGTCTGTCGGGTAGCGCTTCGGCCATCAAACCAATCATTTTATACAATTCGCTAAAATTGTCAGAAAAAATAGTAATACTGTACTTTTCAAGAGGTTTTACACTGAAAATAAAAATTATGTAAAACAATAAATTTTAGTAAAATTTATTATAATGTTCACAAACACTCTTAAAGTGGTAATTATACATACATATCATATAGGTCGAACAATTGCAGTGCAATCATTGCCAGGCTATATATATCTGATATAATGGTGTATTTTCCATGAAAACCTTCGGGCGCAACATAACCGGGAGTACCCACACCCGGTGTGTGACTCATATCATTTCGCTCTTGGTCAGTGGCCAGGCCAAAATCGCCAAGTTTTATAAAACTGTTATTGCTTGGTATTAATATATTATTAGGTTTTAAATCACGGTGAATAACGGGTGGCGTCAGTTCGTGTAGATATTGCAGGCACTCCAGGAGTACGCGTAATATTTCGCAACATATATAATACTCGTAGCGATTCATCGGTTCCGATGATTGTCTACCAAATACTTGATTTTTGTCTTTAAGTATTGTTCCGAATGTTTGCGAACAGAACTCCATTTGAATGTATATGTGATTGCATTCATGCCATGAGTGGTAATATTTTACTACAAATATTGAGCACAATTTTGATAATGTTTTTACTTCTCTCAATGCAAAACTTTTGTTTTTCTCATCTGTATATTCAATAAATTTTAATAATTTTTTATATTTAAAAAATTACATTATTATATCTCGATTTGTAAATGTTGATATTATTTACCTTCATATCGAACTCGTTTAACAGCATATATCCTTTTATTTAATCTGTGTTCAACTTTAAATACTGTCCCAAAACCACCCGAACCTATGGCTGATATTACTGAAAAATTATTTGCATAATAACCAAGCGTTTGATTTAAACCGATTGTATTATACGTAATTTGAAATGCTGTCGCGTAAAAATTAGTGTATGTTGTGTGATCATGTTCAGTTAATATGTGCTCTTTAGATATTTGATAGATTTTGTCATTTTTTAAAACGCAAACAAAATCATAATTAATGAAAGAATGAAATTGTTGTAAATCTAATAACGTATGTTTGTTTAAAATAGGACATAAAGTTTTTGCGCTAAATTCAACATTATTTTTAAAATATTTGCCACAAAAATACAGGCCATGTGTTGTCAGAAAATATGTACCTAATAAACTACAACTAATTGTTTTGACATCACTTATATTTAATATCAATCTGGGTCTCAATATTTTATCATCATCAATATTATGCCCCAACTGGTGGCTACTATTACTACCCCAACTGTATACGTGCCCATCTAATGTGATAGCAAACGAGCAGTCACAAAAGCAATATATTGATTTTATTAAATTATCATTGCCAAATTTTATTTCATCTGGTGTACAAATAATCTCATCATTATTAATACCAAGTTGTCCCAAATGATTGTCTCCCCAGGCATACACGCGACCCGGATTGGTCAACACTAGTGTATGACTTGTACCACATCTAACCTGTACGATGTGTTTGTCAGTAAAACGTGATATTAACTTTGGTTGTAAACAATCTCGGTCGTATTTATTTGATCGGGCCAATTGTTCTTTACTATTACAACCCATGCCATAAATTCTATTCAAATCATTCACTGCTAATACAAAATCACATCCATTGACAAAGTATTGCATGTTTTGATGACATTGAAGTGAATCATACATTATATTAATTATTTAAGAGATTCACTAATGTATTATAATAATAGTAACTCGATACTTTACTTTAAACATTGTTTTATAATTATGTACAACTCATTTGTTAATCGCATTATTGAATCTGCCTTTCCTTACAATCACATTAAAACTGAATTGTGAACAATAAATGTTATGAATACGAAATATATTAAATGATCAATAAAATGGATGTTTATTACGAGACCCGAAATGTACTGCCGTCTCAATTGGCGCAGTCAGTAGGATGACCTATGCCCGTGAAAACTACTTATATCAGTGATACACGCCATTGCTATCATTGATACGTGTTGGTCAAGATCTGTATGGATATGTTGGCCTCAGGATACGGACTCACTTTCACGCTCTGTCCAGTTTTGTCTTTGGACACAAACACCAACCAACCAATCAAAGAACCCCGACTAATTCTCATCATTACTACCAGTTCGATGATCACCTATGGGCTGATCACAAACACTAACAGCCCGTCATTACTACAACTTATCCAACTACTACTACTCGTTCAGACTTTCGGACGTTCAAATACTACTCGCTCGTAATGACAACGAGACCAGCCATCATTACGGGAAACTCTACTACCCAATCACTAGCGCACATCCGGCCATCACCGAGAAATCAATGACAACAACGACAACCAACTGCAACAAACCACTTAGGACACCAGCACTAGTGGTCCAATTACCACTACTCTTTCAGTCATAATCCAACGGATGGCAGCTTCGCGCCACTGATCGGTCGATCAAGCACATGAACCAAATGTTCGAACCTGCGGTTCCTCTCGTACTGAACAAAATCCCACAGCAGCGACTGGTATTTATCAGTAGGGTGTACATTAACTACTCGCGTCGCCATAAGCGAGTGCTCTTTTAGAGTATTTAAGACTAATTATTACATACATTTACAATTATACACAAACGTACCGGAATGGTACCCACAATACGTACCACATTGGTACCCAATACAAATGGTAATTAAGAGCGTGACCGCGCGTCAGCGCTATACCAATGCGTACCGCACTGGTACCCAAACCATACCGCACCGGTATCCACCTACATCCGGTACCAAATAAAACTGTACAACTATTCAATTAACAGGAATACCTATATTGTAATAGTCTGTGCTCAATTGGGTTTAACGATCATATTAAATATTAATATTTAAACAACTGTATTAATGATTTTATTGTTCTCTTACAATTTAGTTAGAATCGAGTCCCGAGGATTAAAATGGTTACATCATTGATAACTTTTATTAATATATTTATTTCTATTTACAGACAAATCTATTTTCAATAATCGTGTTACAGATCTAAGGAGACGGTCAATTAATTCGATCGTTCGTATATTTGAAATAATGTACAAAAATACATTTTAAGATGGTTTCGCTTTTGTTCGAGGACTTATCGCTGGGGGAATGAAGTGAATCATACATTATATTAATTATTTAAGAGATTCACTAATGTATTATAATAATAGTAATGCGATACTTTACTTTAAACATTGTTTTATAATTATGTACAACTCATTTGTTAATCGCATTATTGAATCTGCCTTTCCTTACAATCACATTAAAACTGAA